TTTGTTATGCAGAATCCAGGTGTTTATTATTCAGAACCCAGCCCCTGGGCGGGGTTCTGTTCTGCAGAATCCAGGTGTTTGTTATGCAGAATCCAGGTGTTTATTATTCAGAATCCAGCCCCTGGGTGGGGCTTTGTTCTGCAGAATCCAGGTGTTTATTATTCAGAATCTAGTATTTCATTATTCAGAATCCAGCCCCTGGGCGGGGTTTTGTTATGCAGAATCCAGGTGTTTATTATTCAGAATCCAGGTGTTTATTATGCAGAATCCAGCCCCTGGGTGGGGCTTTGTTATGCAGAATCCAGTATTTCATTATTCAGAATCCAGCCCCTGGGTGGGGTTTTGTTCTGCAGAATCCAGGTGTTTATTCTTCAGAATCCAGGTGTTTATTATTCAGAATCCAGCCCCTGGGCGGGGTTCTGTTATGCAGAATCCAGGTGTTTATTCTTCAGAATCCAGTATTTCATTATTCAGAATCCAGGTGTTTATTATTCAGAATCCAGTATTTCATTATTCAGAATCCAGCCCCTGGTTAAGGTTTGTTATGCAGAACCCAGGTGTTTATTATGCAGAATCCAGGTGTTTATTCTTCAGAATCCAGTATTTCATTATTCAGAATCCAGCCCCTGGTTAAGGTTTTGTTATGCAGAATCCAGGTCTTTATTATTCAGAATCCAGCCCCTGGGTTGGGTTTTGTTATGCAGAATCCAGGTGTTTATTATTGAGAATCCAGCCCCTGGGTGGGGTTTCATTCTGTAGAATCCAGGTGTTTATTATTCAGAATCCAGGTGTTTATTATTCAGAATCCAGCCCCTGGGTTGGGTTTTGTTCTGCAGAATCCAGGTGTTTATTATTCAGAATCCAGGATTTCATTATTCAGAATCCAGGTATTTATTATTCAGAATCCAGGATTTCATTATTCAGAATCCAGGTGTTTATTATTCAGAATCCAGCCCCTGGGCGGGGTTTTCTTATTCAGAATCCAGGTGTTTATTATTGAGAATCCAGGTGTTTTTTCTTCAGAATCCAGTAGTTCATTATTCAGAATCCAGCCCTTACATGGGATTTTGTTATGCAGAATCCAGGTGTTTATTATTCAGAATCCAGGATTTCATTATTCAGAATCCAGTATTTATAATTCAGAATCCAGCCCCTGGGTGGGGTTTTGTTCTGCAGAATCCAGGTGTTTATTCTTCAGAATCCAGGTGTTTGTTATTCAGAATCCAGCCCCTGGGTGGGGTTTTGCTATGCAGAATCCAGGTGTTTATTAGTCAGAATCCAGGTGTTTGTTATTCAGAATCCAGGATTTCATTCTTCAGAATCCAGTACTTATTATTCAGAATCCAGCCCCTGGGCGGGGCTTTGTTATGCAGAATCCAGGTGTTTATTCTTCCGAATCCAGTAGTTCATTATTCAGAATCCAGCCCCTGGGTGGGGTTTTCTTATGCAGAATCCAGGTGTTTATTCTTCAGAATCCAGGTGTTTTTTCTTCAGAATCCAGATGTTTATTATGCAGAATCCAGGTGTTTTTTCTTCAGAATCCAGGTGTTTGTTATTCAGAATCCAGGTGTTCATTATTCAGAATCCAGCCCCTGGGCGGGGTTTTGTTCTGCAGAATCCAGGTGTTTATTATTCAGAATCCAGTGTTTCATTATTCAGAATCCAGGATTTATTATTCAGAATCCAGCCCCTGGCTGGGGTTTTGCTATGCAGAATCCAGGTGTTTATTATTCAGAATCCAGGTGTTTATTATTCAGAATCCAGGATTTCATTATTCAGAATCCAGTATTTATTATTCAGAATCCAGCCCCTGGGTGGGGTTTTGTTCTGCAGAATCCAGGTGTTTATTATTCAGAATCCAGGTGTTTATTCTTCAGAATCCAGCCCCTGGGCGGGGTTCTGTTATGCAGAATCCAGGTGTTTATTATGCAGAATCCAGGTGTTTCACCACACACTGACCAAAATTGGGTTTTTCCCCCCGTTTTTAGGAGTCAGACTCCTCCTAGTGGAGTTTATTGCAGGCANAATCCAGGTGTTTATTATTCAGAATCCAGGTGTTTATTATTGAGAATCCAGGTGTTTATTATGCAGAATCCAGGTGTTTATTATTCAGAATCCAGTATTTCATTATTCAGAATCCAGCCCCTGGGTGAGGTTTTCTTATGCAGAATCCAGGTGTTTATTATTCAGAATCCAGGTGTTTATTATTGAGAATCCAGTATTTCATTATTCAGAATCCAGTGTTTCATTATTCAGAATCCAGCCCCTGGGTGGGGTTTTGTTCTGCAGAATCCAGGTGTTTATTATTCAGAATCCAGGTGTTTATTATTCAGAATCTGGGTGTTTATTATTCAGAATCCAGCCCCTGGGTGGGGCTTTGTTCTGCAGAATCCAGGTGTTTATTATTCAGAATCCAGGTGTTTATTATTCAGAATCCAGGTGTTTATTATTGAGAATCCAGGATTTCATTATTCAGAATCCAACCCCTGGGTGGGGCTTTGTTATGCAGAATCCAGGTGTTTATTATTCAGAATCCAGTATTTCATTATTCAGAACCCAGCCCCTGGGTGGGGTTCTATTATGCAGAATCCAGGTGTTTATTATTCAGAATCCAGGTGTTTATTATGCAGAATCCAGGTGTTTATTCTTCAAAATCCAGGTGTTTATTATTCAAAATCCAGTATTTCATTATTCAGAATCCAGCCCCTGGGTGGGGTTTTGTTATGCAGAATCCAGGTGTTTATTATTCAGAATCCAGGTGTTTATTCTTCAAAATCCAGGTGTTTATTATTCAGAACCCAGCCCCTGGGCGGGGTTCTGTTATGCAGAATCCAGGTGTTTGTTATGCAGAATCCGGGTGTTTATTATTCAGAATCCAGTAGTTCATTATTCAGAATCCAGGATTTCATTCTTGAGAATCCAGCCCCTGGGCGGGGTTTTGTTATGCAGAACCCAGGTGTTTATTATTCAGAATCCAGTAGTTCATTCTTCAGAATCCAGGTGTTTATTATTGAGAATCCAGGTGTTTATTATTCAGAATCCAGCCCCTGGGTGGGGTTTTCTTATGCAGAACCCAGGTGTTTATTATTCAGAATCCAGGTGTTTATTATTGAAAATCCAGGTGTTTATTATTCAAAATCCAGGTGTTTATTATTCAGAATCCAGCCCCTGGGTGGGGTGTTGTTATGCAGAATCCAGGTGTTTATTATTCAGAATCCAGCCCCTGGGCGGGGTTCTGTTATGCAGAATCCAGGTGTTTGTTATGCAGAATCCAGGTGTTTATTATTCAGAATCCAGGTGTTTATTCTTCAGAATCCAGGTGTTTATTATTCAGAATCCAGTATTTCATTATTCAGAATCCAGCCCTTGGGTGGGGTTTTCTTATGCAGAATCCAGGTGTTTATTATTCAGAATCCAGCCCCTGGGTGGGGTGTTGTTATGCAGAATCCAGGTGTTTATTATTCAGAATCCAGGTGTTTATTATTCAGAATCCAGGTGTTTCACCACACACTGACCAAAATTGGGTTTTTCCCCCCGTTTTTAGGAGTCAGACTCCTCCTAGTGGAGTTTATTGCAGGCAGGAGGAAAAAGAGTACAGTGGAGACAGATGCATAAAAACACATTAATTTGTTTATTTATTACATTTATTAATTAGATATTATTTAATATTATATAAATTATTATTAATTTAATTATTAATTTTCTTTCTTTATTAATATTATTCCAATAATAAACAAATAAATTTATTCAAATTTATTTATGCATTTAACGCATAAAATATGTTTAATTATTTATTAAATTCATTGTTTAAATATTCAATATTATATTAATTATTACTAATTTAATTGTTAATTTTCTTTATTATTTTTATTTAAATATTCAATAAATGTATTTATTTATTAAAATTTATGCATTTAATGCATGAAAATACATTATTTAATTTATTATTTAGATATCATTTAATAGTATAATAATTGTTATTAATTTAATTATTATTTTCATTTATTAATTAATATTATAATAATTGTTATCAATTTAATTATTATTTTAATTTATTAATTAATATTATAATAATTGTTATCAATTTAATTATTTTCATTTACTAATTAATATTATTTAAATAATAAATAAATTTATTTATTAAAGTTTATTTATGCATCTAATGCATAAAAATAAGGGGTGAGATCTGTGACTCAGATGTGGAGAATGGGTGACTAAAGCTGACATTTGTATTCCTCGTGTTCTGGCATTTTAATTCCTCGTGTTCTGACATTTGAATCCCTTATTTTCTGACATTTTAATTCCCTGTGTTGTGACATTTCTGTTCCTTGTGTCCCTCCAGCCACCGAGGCCCAAGGATCCAGGCCCAGGGAGCAGCACAGGCCGCAGTGAGCAAAGGCCTGGAATGGACAAAGATTTGGACAAACCAAGGAGGAGTCAGGGGAGGAAGCAGCTCCTGCCCCAGGCTGTGCTGTCCCTGCCGGTGCCCAGCCCAAACCTGGCCCCAGCCAAGCTCTGCCAGCTTGAAAGGCTTGGCTGGGTGCATGGAACAGCCAGCGTGACTAAAAAAGTGACTAAAAGATGCCCAACGTGTCCCCATTTCACAGAAGGCAGAGTGCTGGACCCTCACCTTGCTTGCTCCTGCTCTCTGTTTACTCAAGGTTGATGCAGGTTTCTTTTTGCATGAGCACATTCAGGATTTGGCTGTTCCAATTCCATCCTGGCCAAATCCAGCCCTGAATCCAAGCCATTCCCTGGAGGGAATGAGAGAGCAGGAACCCCAAAATCCTGGCAATGTGCTTCCCTCACAGGAGGCAGAGTGCTGGATCCCCACTCTTGCTGGATCCTGTTTTCTATTTATTCAAGGTTCATGCAGGTTTCTTTTTGCATGAGCTCATTCAGTATTTGAGTATTTATCTTCCATCCTGGCCAAATCCATTCCTGAATCCAACCCATTCAGGAGAATTCAGAGGGCAGGAACCCCAAAATCCTGGCGTTGTGCTTCCCTCCAGAGCCCAGAAAAGCCAGACAAAACCATGTAAAACATTTATTTTTGTTTCTGTGCTCCTGCCTGGATCATTGCTCTGGCATTCCTTTTCACCAGATGGGAGTGCTGCTGTCCTCGTGGAGATTAATTAGCCTGTTCTGTGATTAATTACAGGCAATAATTCTCCAGCTCTATCATTCCTCTGCACTCTGAACACACACAGCACATCTCTGGTGTCTTGTCTTGGGCTTCCACCCAGTGCTAAGCTTGAGCTACACTTAAAAATCAATGTTTTTAAGGTAAAAAAGAGTAAATCTAATTATTTTCCTTTGCCCCTAAGCTTGAACTTGCTGCGTCTAAGCCACTCTGGAAAGGGGAGCTAGGAAAAAAAAAAAAAAAGAAAGAAAGATAAATTAATTATAAATACCTAGTGACCAAGCAAATGGTTTCAAAGTTCAGAGCTAAGGGCTGTAAAGAAATGTAGATATTTCTCTGCTAACCCCCAGCATCAGTGGGAACACCCTCCCTCAGTAACTTTTGCTCTATTTTAAATTTATTGCTTATTTTCCCTCCATGTGGAACTTGGTTTTGAAGCAGTGCTGTTTGTGGAGAGCCCCATTCAGCCTCAAAAATCCTTCTTAAAACAGCTTAAATCAGCTCCTTTTGGAGCTGAGAGGAATTTTATCCCTGACTTTGTCTCCTGAGAGCTGAATTTTTCATCTCCACCTTTCTGGAGCATTTTTTCCTTGGGCTGCCTTGTTCAGGAGAGAAGGGAGGTGAGTCATTCATTAACTCTATAAAGAGATTTTCATGTGGTTTTTGTCCTCCTCTGGAATGTGCATTTGTGACTGATTAATCTCAGTGCTGAAAGGATCACAAAGCCCCTGGAACTGCTCATGCAATAAAATGATTTTGTTTCTTCTCGCTGTAGGACAGAAAATAAGTTTGCACAACTTCCTGCATAGTTTATTAATGCATTAATTTTCATCCCCCCCTCAGTTGTAACACAGCCTTTTGAAGACAAATAAATATAAATATGAGAGCTACTGAATGGTTCCTTTGTGCTGTGGGGTTTTATGGGGGGGGATTGTGGATTTTGTTCCAGGGGTTGAAAAGCTGGAATTTATAGAATCATAAAAGTTGGGAAAAGCGTCTGAGATCACCCTTAAATCATAATTTTAAATGAAGTGTGTGTTCCACCCATGCCTGAATAACCAGATTTACCCCAAATTTTACTTCCATCCCTCAAAAAATGTGTGGGAAATGTAAAAAACAGAAATATCTTGGTCTTGATGAAACGTCAGTTCCAAAATTATGATTTCCAGGGAAATCCTGCTCTTTATCCCACATAACCACAAATAAGGGTTTCCCTGTGCTCCCCTTTTCTTTTCCACTTTCCCATCACCTTTCCCACTCCAAAATGATGGATTATGAGCTGATTTCCAGGGAAATCCTGTTCTTTATCCTACATAGCCACAGGTTTCTCCTCGCTCCTCTTTTCCCATCCTCTCTGCCATTCCAAGGAGAGAATTTCGAGAGAAATCCAGGAAAACCCCAAGGGAAATTCGGGATAACACCAAACTGGGGCCGATTTCCAGGGAAATCCGGGATAATCCCAAGTGCTATCTGGGATAACACCAAATTGGGGCTGATTTCGGAGGAAATCTGGGATAAACCCCAGGGGAAATTCAGAATAACGCCAAGGGAAATTGGGATAACCCCAAGGGAAACCCGGGATAATCCCAAGGAGAAATCTGGGATAACCCCACGGGAAACCCGGGATAACGGCAAACTGGGGCCGATTTCCAGGGAAAGCCGGGACAATGCCAAGGGAATCCCGAGATAACGCTAAACGGGGGCCGATTTCGGAAGAAATCGGGGATATTCCTGAAGCAATCCCGGGATAACGCTAAACTGGGGCCGATTTCGGAAGAAATCCGGGATATTCCTGAAGCAATCCCGGGATAACGCCAAACTCAGGCCGATTTCCAGGCAAATCCGGGATAACGCCCAGGCCGCGCCTCCTCGCGGCCCTTAGCAACGCCCCTCACTCCCGTTGCTATGCGGAAGCACCGCCCCATTTGTCCCTCCGGGCTCTCCGTCCCTTCACCCTCCCCTCTCGCCCCTCCCTCCTCTTCCCACCAATCAAACCGCACACGCGCCTCCTCTCCACCAATCACCGCGCGGCGCGCCTCTCGCTCCACCCAATGAGAAGCCG